TTTTGCTTCCCAGGCCAAGAAGTTTGTGGGTTGCTTATGGGTGGCATCCAAAGGCAAAGTGCTTCCCAGGTGGCACCGAGCACCATTGATCCTCTGTCCCCAGAAACACTCATAATGACTCACTGCATATAGAAATGCAAAAGGACTTTTCAGCCCACACCCTCCTAAGTGCAGGAGGGTGAATGTCTGAATGTCACCCTCCTCATGACCTGTGGAAGAGACTTGGGAGGGCTACAGCAACTTTACAAGGCTGGACCAGTCAACCCTGATCCCTCAGGTCCCCACTGCTAAACCTGCTCATACTCCCCCTAGTTCCTCAATGCCTACAGGGTGAAGTCCAAGTCCACAGCTCCAAGCCAGGTCCTTCCTAATCAAATCCAGACATATTGATCAACCATATCTCCCATCTCGCCGCCCAAACAGCTGCACAAAAGTTAGCTAGCCCATCTGCAGTTCCCCAAGCACAGCAGTTTAGTCATCTGGCGTCATCATATGCAAGCAAGCCTCTGACAGACACAGTAAGTCAGGTGTGCTAAACACCTGTGATACCTTACTTTATCTTCACAGCAGCCTGTGTGGAGGGACTGGTCAGCCTGGGCCAACCTCAGAGCAGCTTGTGTAAGGGACTGGTCAGCCCTAGGTTAGAGCCTCACTCTGTAGCCCATGCTGACTTCAAAGTCAGTGATTCTTCTAGCCTAGCTTTACAAGTGCCACCATGGTAACAGCTGGCACCTCATCCTCATTTTGAGGATAGTGATGGCTTTATAGTAAACAAACCACAGCACCCCCATACCCCAAAATCTGGCACACAGCAGGCGTTCACTGCCAGGGTGTGTGACCAGCTCTTAGGTGTTCTTCTCCCTGAGGCTCAGTCTTTAGCTCCTGTCCACTGTTGCCTCCTCACCTCCTCACCTTCAGGCTTTTTGATATAACCCGGCAGCCTTCCTTCTGGTCCCTTTCCTTCTGAATGTCTTCTCCAAAGTGCTGAGCCTGGCTTGTCTCTGTTCGCACACATTCCTAGCTCCTTGGCGTTCATCAGGTAACAGATTCTCTGTACAGAGACCGGGACTGTGGTTGACCCGAGCATAACCACTGCATCGTAATCTGGGTTGTGTACATCAGACCAAACAATGCTGCTCCTCGTTCTTTGCAATGTCATAGATCGATGACACCTCCCGGAACCCAACTCCTTTCAGTCAAGGGTGGTCTTAGTTTAAGGTAAACTTCGGATTACCTTAAATCTCTCTCTGGTTCTCTTGTCTTTACCCCTGGCAGAGATGGGTGAGACTGCAGAACAGGTGACACTACACTGGGTTTATACAGTCCTGGAGATCACACTCAGCATGGGAAGAAAGCTCTCTTCCTCAGGCCCAGGATCCTACCTTTAACAAACAGAACCTGTGAGCAAAGTGGTTGAGAAGCACAACTCTTCTTTATCTGGTCTTTGTGTCTTTTGCGGGACTTATCCCACGCAGGTAATTCTCACCCATATCTCGGTGTCACATGTATGCCTTAACGGGCTTTACCTGACTTCAGTCTCTTGCACTTGGTAGATTCAAAACATACTGGGCTTGGGGCCATCCCTGAATAGAACACACCACTGTAAGGATATCATGGGACTCATCTTAAAGGACTGGGGCAGTAGTAGCAGCGGAGTGCTTGCCCTGTATGAACGGTTTGGTCACTGGTACTACATAAACAGGTGCAGTGGTCCACACCTGTCATCTCAGCATTTGGGAGGTGGAGGCAGAAGAATCAGGAGTTCAAGGTTTTATGGTGAGTTCAAGGGCAGCCGATGCTGAATAAAATTCTGTCTTATAATAAAATTAATGTGAGACCAATCTAATTATTTGAAGAATTTCTCAAATTTTTGTAAAACTATAATGCAGTGTTACATACAAATAGAGTTGAAGGCTAGAGGCTGGAGAGATGGCTCAGTGGTTAAGAGCACTGGCTGCTCTTACAGAGGTCCAGAGGACCCCAGTTAGATGCCTAGCACCGTATGGCAACTCACAGCCATCTATAATAACATTCTCTTCTGCTTCCTCTCATACCAGGCACATACATGGTACACAAACAAACATATACAGACAAAACATAATTTAAAAAATGTTAAGATGCTAGATAAACACAGTGTTTGATATAATGTCCCTACTCTAGAGACAACTAAGACCCTAGAAGTTCAAGACTTACTAGTTTGCCCAGATCTCTAACTGGTGCTTTTTGAGGAGCAGAGCCAGAGTCCCACTAAACTAGAAGCATTTACGAAAGATTCGCCACAGTGCCTGGGATAGGCTCACAGCTGGTGCTCATTCCTTACAACCAATGACTCTAGACAGCAGACAGGTAGAAAGACAATATCCCTTATGGAAATTCTGTAATAATACTCTAAACTATGACTCCTGCACCTTTTTAGAAAATGAAGAACACCATTAACAGAAAAATTCCAAATAGCCTTTATCTTCCAAATGCAAGGATGGAATTCACAGCCTGGCAAGCACTAAGAACTCTCCCACAGGGTGGCAGCCCTGGGCCTTGAACTCTGTGTGCGTGTGTATATGTGTCTTTCTGAGACAAATCTTACTATGTAGCCCAGGCTGGCCTTGAACCCAAAATCCTCCTGTCTCTGCATCTCAAGTGCTGGGGTTACAGATGTGTGCAAGCACAATCAGTTTCTGAAAAATTTTTTAGGGTCATGCTGAACCCAGCACTGTGCTTTACCAAGAATCACCACCAGGTGGCAGGACAAGGCCATGTTTTGCAAGTGATAGCAGCATTTCCTTTTCATAGTTATCTGGTTAAGATGTTAAAAATTTCCCCAAAATCATTTTGTGTTTTGTTTTGCTTTGATACAGGGTTCCATGTAGCCAAGCACATATCTGATGGTTACCTTAAACTTCTGATCCTCCTGGCTCTCCCCCTCGAAACAGGGTTTATCCAGTCCTGGAGACCACACTCAGCATAGGAAAGAAGCACTCCTCAGGTTCAGGAGCCTATCTTTCACATGCAGAACCTGTGAGACTTCTAAAGATCCTTTCCTAGAGTAATGGGGCATCTAACATGGGGGCAGGGCAGAGTGTCTGTGGAGTGCATGTCTCACCAAGGCTAGTTTGGATGGTCCATGTCCTTCAAAGTTCAAGATTAAAGTTTAGTCTCTGGGGTGAGAGTATTAGGGGGTGCTGTGGAACTCTCTGGGGGACCCCAGTGGAAGTCAGCTCACTTGGGGACTGTCCTTGATGGGGACTGTGTGATCTTACCAACCTCTTCTCTCTTTCTGTCTTCAATCTTGAGATACGACCTGTCACTCTGACATGGATTCCTGCCATGATAGGCTGCTACCCTTGTCAGAGGGCCAAATCAGCAGGACTGACCCCGACTTTGATCTGAGGCAGTACAACCCTCAACAAAATAAAACACTGTGTTGAGACAGTCATGCTATATAACAGAATGGTGTCGAATTCAGTTCTCCTGCCTCCATCTCCCTGGCAACGAGCTCACACATGTGTATAACCACACCAGCCAGTGGCCTGTGCATTTTATACTACAGATGCAAAACTGACGGACCATGCCCAGAATTGAGTAAAACCTTTGGCCAATTTAAAAACAAAAACAAAACAAAACAAAACAAAGTCAGCAGAGTTGGAACTGCTTCCCAGGGCTCCCTGTCTCCTCCAAGGGATCCAAAGTTCTTTTTTTTTAAGAATGCAAATGAGCAAATCTCCTTCAATGCCGGAAAGTTCTGACAGACTGCGCCTCTGGCCTAGAGTACTATAGCTGCACATCTGCTGACTGAGTATCCTAAAAGCTGGTTCAGATCTCTCTAAAGCAACTCTGTAGCAATTCTACTCTCTCTATCCTTTCCAGAAGGTCCTATGACCTAGATGTCTCTGGATAGCAAAGGTCAAAACCAGATATTTGCCAGCCATGGAAGTGTGGTACACACCAATAATCCCAGCACTCTGGAGTGTGACTTTGAGGGCAGCCTGGGCTATAGAGCATCATCTCAGTAAATTTATATCAGCAAGTCCGCAGGCTGTCCAGGCTTCTGCAAACCGAACCGAGCAATCATTTGTCTGCCAGCCCTCTCCAAGGCTGGGTGGGAGGGAACAGTTGCTAAGGAGTAATTTCCTGTTGCAAGCACCAATTCACAGCTGTAGCCCGGCCTAGAAATATATGCATGGAACATTTATAACACGCATCTGTCTTTTAGCTATGTAAGGTGATGTTACTGAATGCTCTTATACAGAGAGCTTGCACAGTGAGGTAAAACTGTCTGGTTGCTTGACAGGATGTGAAAGGAACTCGTGCAGCTCTGACAGCTACTGCTGATCCGATCCGTGAGCTGCTTGGAGCTCTGCCCTAAAAATAAGTACAATGGCCATCATTAAAATCTCTTTGATGAAGAAGCATCATTCTGGGCTTGACAGCTACCGAGCAGCACAGTTCTAATTCATTTCTCGGAAATAAAAGACTCAAGGCATGTAATGTTCTCTAACACAAAGAACTGCATGCTCAAGGACTCTGTGGGGAAGGATACCAGCAACAGTTTAAAATACACGGATGATACGGGGGTAATAAAATCCTTTCAAACTGTGAAAACTCTGAGAAACCCTAGTGGTCACGTTCATTCCCAGGACCTAGCAGCACATAGTAGATATTCAATAAATACCTTTTCCATGAATGGTGTGGCAAACACTCCATCAGGGGTCGTATTTATTAGCAATTCCATTTTAAGTGGGATGAAGATTACCTTTTGGGATGGTGCCGGGGGTGTGGGGCTAGGGGGCTAACCTGGAACCTTGTATGTGCCAAGTAAACACCTGGCAGGGAGGCACATCGAGAACCAGGCAAACTAAGCCAATAACTTCCATCTCCTCTGAAACTTACTACAACCACGTTGGCACAGTCTTTGGAAATCTCTGGGTGAATGGCAGAGCAATACTAGGCAAGCGCCCCTCCCACACTGTCACCCATCACAGGGCCTCCACCTGGACCCTTACCTCTTCCTTCCTCTCTTCTGGATTGGTAGCTCCATCGAGATTCGAGGGAAAATAGCTGTCACCGCTTTCTCCCCTCACGTCACCAGCGTTGGTGAGGACAGTATCCTGGAGGGACACAGGTCCTGGCTGCCGGTGAACAGTATCCTCAGTCCGTTCTTCACTGTCCGCTGAACTGAGGGACAGCACACTTAGACTACTGGGACACTTAGTACTCCCTGGGCTCTGAGGGCTTTGGGGCTTGGGCGTGGTGGGCCTCAGAGGCGTGGGAAGCTGCACCGGGTCGAAGGGATGCTGGCTGCCAGTATGTGCCTCACTGGAGGCTTGGCTCAACCCTTCTGGGTCTGTGGGGATTGGCGAGGGACTGCTGGCACCAGGTCCATCATTTCCCAGTGGCGGGGCACTTTTAGTTTCCAGGGGGAATACTGCAGTATCCACATCTAGGTGGGGTTCTGGGGCTGCGGAGGGCGCAGTGGTGCATGGTGCAGGGACACAGGATGAGGACAAAGAGCCACCACGCCTGGAATCTGGCTCCACGCTGCTGCTGGTGCGACGTGAGTAGTCATCGTGTAGCTTGCTTCGTGGCCCAAGTAGTGGGTTCGCATCCCCCAGACAGGGACTAGGGCTAGGGTCTGCACTCCTGGGGGCCTCCCTCTTCCAGGCCGCATCCTTGACGTTGCTCACCAGTCTTAGGACTCTGTCAAAGTCCTTGGCCCGGATGGGGCTCCTCCAGCGTCTGGTTCTTCTCTCTGAGCCACCTGGCTTCTCGGAGTCTGTGAAGAAGCCGCTCAGAGTCCTGGGGGGAACCTGCCTGTCACCCTGCAGTTCCGTGAGGTTGGACGCAGACTTGCGCTTGAAGGAGCTCTTCAGGACGCTCAAGCTGTCGATGCTCTTGCTTCTGCGCGTCAGAGGCACAGCCCTGCTGGGCTCTGGGTCACGCACTTGGATCTCACACACAGCGGGCTCTGGTACGGGCTGCCGGCCCAGGTCCAGCAGGCTGATGCGGCCCAGGCCATAGGCCCTGCGGATGCTGCGTGAACGGTGCGTGCTCCTTTGGAAGGCGTCCTCCGTGTCCTCAGGGTCTGAGCAGTCGGACCCGGTGCCATCTCCTACAGGTCCCAAGGATGTACACCTGCCTAGACCCTTTCCCAGGATGGCAATGGTGCCATTGGGAGCAGCCTTTCCTAGGTCTCCTGTTGGCTCTTCCTTGGAAACTTCTGCCCCCTCCCGGTTCTGAATTCCTTGAAGGACAGAAGATTTCAATCTTTTAAAAGAGCCCATTTTACGGAAGGAGGCCAGGGCATTCCATGTGGAGGAATTCCCCACAAGGACTACCGAGTGAGGCCTCTCAGAGTTCGAATTCATCCTCTTCCGGCTACCAGAGAAGAGACGTACCAGCTTGGAAGGGCTGAGCCTGGCTTCCCCGGCATCGGGATCACTGCTGGGACTGCTTTTGCAGCCTCCATTCTGACATGCTGAGGATGTCACCATTTTGGGGGCCTTCGGGTTGGAGGCTGAACAAGTGGCTGTGGCACCTTGCCCATGGCCATCCTGGGCTGTTGTCATGTTCGTAGGGAGGGCAGCCTGGTTCAAACCTCCATTCACGCCGGTAACCGGGTGTCCCAGCTCCAGACCTTCATCTCCAAGGACAGCAGCCTGTCTTTCACATCTGCTGTGTGCATCTGGATCTGTAGTCACAGCTACTGCCTGCAGCACAAAACAAAGCAGGCATTTAGCCATTGTCCCCAAGGAGGCGCCTCTATAGAGGCTGATCGCTCAAGCTAACAACTGCTAATAGAAGAAAACCACAAGCTCCAAGACAAGGCTGATTTGTTAAGAATTACTCTAAAATTTACTTTTCATCAAAGCAAGAGTGGAAGGCATGCAAATATAGATTCCTAAAGGAAGAAACAAAAAAGACGGCTAAGGATGTGCACTTAACATGACGGAGAAATTCTGAAATCCCGAGAAAACTGCTGCAACGCAAATGGTGAGACCTTGTTCTTTGTGTGTGAACAGAAAGTGTTTTATTATCAAACATCAACCCCACAGCGACTTCCAAACACGAGTACTGAAACAGCAGCCTGTACGAGCAGGGGGCTCGGTGAGTGGACTCCTGGAAGTTCTGACGGAGGCCAAGTCTACAGAAAGCTATGAGAGAGCCTTACGGCATTACAGGGACTCGGGCCCCAACACACCAAGCTAGAGAAGCTTGAAGAAAAGCTGTGTGCAGAAGACACCCAGAAAGTTCTACCTGTCCACAGAGTGACGTGAGGAAACACATGGGGTTGTTAGAAACAGGAGACATAGGCATACGAATAAAGTTCCCTCCTCCGTCTTGTATTACATCCAAACCTCTATGCACACCTTTGCCCATTCCTCCTGCCCTTGCCCAAGCCTCCCCCACAGCACTGCCTAATTTCCTAAAGTGAGAACACTGAGTCTTAAACCTTTCCCATCAGTCAAGCCCAGCTCAGCCTTTCTCAGCCTTCATAGGATGGCTTAAATGTCATGGCCCTTTTATTTCCAATGAATAAATTAATAGTTGAGTTTCAGATTATGAGACCACAAAAGGCCATCGGTCAGACAAGGCTTACATCATCTCTAGGCTGTTGACTAAGGTCAAGGGTAGATATAAGGCTGGGGCCTTTACAGCATCTCTGAGCATTCACAGGAAACTTTAGTGAGGACCTGAGGTTCCATTTTATTTAGCTTACCGTTTTTCAAGCTGGATTTGATCTATGTGAAGAAGCAGTCTGCTCTCCCTGCCCCCGAGCACAGCTTTGTTTCCCCTTGGCCCCTGTATCATGCCCAGTGAGGAAGGATTGTCAGGGAGAGCCACAGGAAAACAGATAAAGGATGGATGCCACCCAGGATGTGGGAGTCTCTACTGACTTAGCCTGTCGGCACTTTACTAATAGGAAGACTGATGGCCTACTGTGCCCTCTGTGGTGCACAAATCTAATGGAGAAAACTTCGTGTGAGAGGCATGGGGGTTGGGAGGGGCTGTGGGTCCCATTTGAGTATGCCACGTGAGCTGAGTCTTGATTCTGCCTGAGAGATGAAAGGATTGCCTGTCTGCCCCTCAGCATTGTGGGAGTGTACTTACTTCCATACACCTTGGATTTCTAAAATGAACCACACAGTGAAGTATCCAAGTCCAGTTCACAGGCAAGAACTGAATACAGGACTTGTGTCAGTCACACAGGGGACAGGATTCCACCTTAGAGCGTGGCCTGAAGTTAGTGACACCAGTAGAGGTCACCACAAGACTTTTTTTAGCCCAGGACAAGCCTGTGTTAAGGGGACCCTGGAGGCTCAAGGGATACAGAGAAGCATGTTGGGACCTTTGAAAATGCTCCTTGGAAGACATGGGGCTATGCCTAGATGCTAAACCTACTACTGTCACACAATATCCAGGAAGCCATCTCAGCAACCCGTGCTTCATGCCATCTATGAAATAAGGGGCGAATATGAATCATTATGTCATGATCCTCCAGAGGCTGCAAGCGGCAGGCCAGGCCCCATGAGGAGTGCAGGATGGTGAGAGGAAGGGGCGTGGGGAAAGGGCAACTGGGAGCACAGTGTACCTGGGAGGAGGTGAATGAAGGTGAAGAGTCTCAACTCTCAGGCAACAGCTTGGGGGGTGGGGGGGAGTCCTTAACAAACGGTACAGCAAGCAAATCAGTGCCTGCCACTGGAGGGGTGGACCAATGCAATGAGATGAGAATCATGGGAAATAGGGCAGGATGTCTACATACCCTAAGTATAAAACCTAATTTTTCTTCAAGACCAATTGCAGGGGTCACTTCTTCTGTACCACTAAAGTAAGAAAATCCTTATGTGCTTCCATGGGGCTGGAGCCTTACCACGTATATTACCAAAGTATAATGATGCTGTGGTAACAGGAACAAATCTATGGGCTGTTAAGGTTTGAGAACCATGAGATTGCATGCTTAAGTTTATTCAAGATTATTTTCTTGATACAAGACTGTATTGGTATATTTATTTAGGTGACAGGTCATGACACACCTCTGTATTTTTCTTTAACTGGTGATTCAGTTTAGAGGGTTCACACGTGCTAGACAAGTGTCCCCCCCACTGAGCTGGATCACGGCCCTGTTGTTCAATGATACTGTTTCCTTGTTACTTACTGATCTTATTACTCTTTTACTTTGAGACATGGTCTCACTATGTTTGTATTTAACAGCAATCCTCCTGCCTCAGCCACCCATGTAGCACTCAAGGCCCTGCTTGCCCCTATTGTTCTAGGTTGAAGATGCTTACATGTTTATTACACTGGTAAGTATTTACTTTAAAACATTTAAATTTAGATTCAGACTCCCTCTGAACAGATTTTAAAAACTAACGATTTACTGTTTGTTCACCACCCAAACAAGGCCATTCCTGTTTACTGCTTTAGAGTGGAAAGTGAAAATCACAGGAAGGAACAAAAGCTTTCCCAGAAACTCTGAGTAACACACCAAGTTGCAGTATTCAGAACCGACGCTTTGACCCCCATTAACTAACAAGGGCTGCGATTCAATTACTGGCTTCATAGCAAGACTTATAAATCATGGGACCCCTGCCAGAGATGCTTATGAAGGGAACTACAAGAAAGAATTCGAGATGGGAATACTGTGAAATCCAGTTGCCCACAAGCTGGACTCCAGGGTGAATGAACTTCACAGTGGAATGCTTCTCCCCACTTGTAATGAGAAATCTCAAAAAAAAAAAAAAAAACCAGCTGTGAGCAACAATTTTCAATTGGAACCAGAAATGTTAAAGGAGTAAAGGTATGGGCCAGCTTTACTGAGCTACGGACACTGCCTCGGAGCACATCTGATGCTCGAAGGAAAGTCAGTGAGGCTGGGGACGGCCGTGAAATAGCCGTCCGTCCCCATTCATTTCAATGATTCCAGTGCTGTTCAGACAAATGACCCAAAAGTCAGTAAAAGCAATGTTCCAAAGCAGGCATTCATAGGTTTTTCTTTGCATCTTACACCATCCTTCCCTGTCCTGGTCAGGATATAAACTGTCTTTCTGTCTGGCTTACCCACGCCACACACACTACATTCTTTCCTACTAGTCACTCAGTAGCCATCTCAGAGGAGTTGTCCGTGGCACTCAGTGCTGAGTTAAGTAATCTTTTTTTTTTTTTTTTTTACTTAATAACAGCCCTGAAGCACAAAGGGAGAGATGCTGGCAACTCAAACATGCCAAGGAAAGCACTTCCTTCACCTGAAAAGATGAACACTTACCGTGGGTACGCATGTCAACAAAAAGCATTCTACATTTTAAGCTCAGCATGATCTAAGGTCTCAGTCATCCTCCAGGAGTCTTGCTGTTCCATGTGGGGTGGGGATGTGGGACCAGCAGTAGGAGTAAGGGGGTGGGCATGGAGTTAGTCCAGCACTGTCACCTATCGGTCAGAACCTAGAGACTGTCTCAGCCCTTCGTCCTCTGGTGTCTGTGGTCACCAAGTCTCAGAAACCATCGCTGCCTGGCTCACTGGTCCTCCACAAGTGTGGAGGGGCACACTACCTATCCCGAGCCTGAGGTGCCTTCCTCCTGGACAAGTCTTCTCCTGGCTCCCTCCCATCTTGTAGTCCAGATCACCTCCACCCATCCTTCATTCTGTCACCAGTGTACTTCCTGATTTGCAAATGGAACTGTCACTGAAATGCCATGTCACTGCTTGCAGCTCTCCAGATTTCACCCCAGCCAGGTTCCATTCTGTTTAGGTTCCATGGAGCTTACTAAAACAAACAACTACAATAACAACAAAAACTGAGGGCCCTGTGCAAGCAAGGCAAGCTCTCCACCCTTGGGTCACTCCTCTAGCCCACAGGCTGGCCCCACTGCAGGTCCTCTTCTACTCTTGGATTCTCTCTCCAGTGGATGTTGTCTCCGCTGCAGGGGATCACAATTCCTAGCTACCAAGACTAAAGGCATCTGGTCTGATCAGTGGAAACCAAGTGTGGGAGGTGATCTGAGAGTGGGAGGAAGGAGGCCCCAGTACCTCTGTGGGTGGCATCTGTCTTTGCTTTGGCTCTGCCCCCTTACATCCCAGATTCTGTCAGGTTGTGGGTTCAAATGACTGCTCCTTCTCCCCTCCAGCATAAGGGTCAGCTGCATATCTGCCAACTTTCCCAACTGAATACACATAATCCTGTCTCGGGGTCTCTCTGTTTGCAACACCTAGAGGCCGTTCTCTTTGCCTGTTCAATAGGCACGTACTTCATCGGGACTTCACTAACTCAAGTAGGGAGGCTCTTGAGTAACTCTTCCTCTGTGTCTAACACAGGAGCCCCTTCTCTGGTTCCCAGCACCTTGTGTGTAGCTTAGTTGATCCCACTGCATACCACCCTGCCCTGGCATTCTGCTCCTTCTCTGCTTTCCCCAGGTATCTCTGAAATTTGAAAAGTGTTTTAAAGGAAAAAAATCAAGTCTGATTTCACTGTCCTCATCATGTACCAGATGAATGACTGGCAGACTGAGAATGAGGATGACACTATTTATTCTGCATACATCAGATATATCAGTCTGAGGTCACATAGTTTTCCTATGGGAACTGTCCTGTGTCCCATAGGGTATTTCTTACCAGTGGTGGCTATCGATGCTCCTGGGACCAAGAAAGACTACATCAGGTGTAAAGGCTCAAGGTAATTCCACCACTTAAGAAGCTGATCCAGGAGAATCTTGAG